AAAAAGATGGCAACCTCAAAAATTATATGGGCAGGTCTACATCGTTAAATAATGTCACCATGTGCTGGGTTTGATGCCACAGCACAAACAACAAACATTACATTTATTCTTGTCACTTACTGCCCTTATGAGTGTGTTATAGTAAAATCTCAGAAGTTTGTTAAATATTTATATCTATATCTCTTCAAGGTAGGTGGAGAAAACATGAGAAACTTCTTTATGTTCTACTGGAAATCTGTCTCTATTTCTGAATTAAACATTTCAATTAACATTACCAATCTCCTGCCTAATGCACAGGCTAACGTGCATGCACTTGGCTTCTTTTCATTTTGTATGCACTATATACACACCATTCCTTCTATAAAAGGATGACTTGCAGAATTAAAGTAAAAACAGCAGTAGAGGGGGGGGAAGCTACAAGGTAATGTTTGATGATTCCTCCTGGGAGACTTACCAGAGCAAAAATGAGTACAATTTCTTTTCTCATTTCCTGCCTGTATCTCTCTTTCCACTAGTATTTTACTTTGATGAAATATTTCTTCATCACCTTTGTCAGATAAATGTTTCTCCACTACTGCTATTGAGTTGATTTCAACTCACAGTGACTCTACATAGTGTTTCTCAGACTGTAAATTTTTCTGGGAGCAGAGAACAGGGAAGGTGGTGAGTTTCAATTGCTGACGTGTGTTGTAGAACAATGCTTATATGACAGAGCCACCAGGCTCCTCGCTTAATTAAGTTGCTCAATATACTTTTATTTCATGTCTCTCCTGCTCCTATCTCTATTGCTTAGTTAGAATGGATTTTCTTAATATTTTCCTCCAAACTAATGAAATCAACCTCACTGCTACTGAGTTGATAGCGCTGCTATAGGACCGGTGGAAGGACTCCTGAGATTTTCCCAGACCGGAACTGTTCTCAGGAGCTGTCAGCCTCATCTTTCTCCCATGGAGTCGCTGGTGATTTGGAACTGCTGATCTTGAGAAACACATCACCACTACACGACCGGGACTCCATATTTACCCCAGCCAATAATGTCCTGAAAGGAGCCCTGGTGGTGCTGTGGGTTAGGCATTAGGTTGTTAACTGCAGATTCGACGGTTCAAACCCGCCCGCCGCTCCATGGGAGCAAGGAGGCCGTCTTCCCGATTTAGGATCTCTGAGCGGGGCTGTACCTGATGGCATTAGGTGGGAAAGTGTAATGAGGAGAAAATGAAAGCGACAGACTATGGAGTCAGATTTAGGTCCCAATCCAAGCTTAGCCATTTTTAGCCTGAGACTTTGGGTGTGATATTTAAATATCTCTGGATAATTTTTCACAACATTAAAATAAAGATACTAGTACATACTTTGATCTGTTGCTGTAATTCAAAAGTTAACAAAATTAAAGCAAAGCAAAAATACTGTTTGAACATAATTTGTAATGAATTTTCTAAAAAGACTCCACCTTCTAAAGAAGTTTATCAATATCTCATTTATTCCTCCTTTCCCCCAGTTATCTGTTGTCTTCTGGCATTTTGTATTGGCCTGATATTTGTGCAACATTCTGGAAATTACTTTGTTACAATGTTTGATGACTATTCTGCCACCCTGCCACTCCTGATGGTAGTGATTTTGGAGAATATTGCTGTATCCTATGTGTATGGCATAGATAAGTAAGTATATTTGCACCTATACATTTGTTTTTCACTTCCATTTTGAAAAGAAATTGTTTGGATACATTTCATTTAGAAAAGGAGAAAAATAAAGGGAAAGTTCTTGAGCATACAATAGAGGTTTTTTCATTTAATGTTTTTCATAAAGTGTGATCTATTAAGTGATTTTATAGAATTGTGTACACGAAAATATTGTCTAGGTTACTGGAATTTTAACTTCGGTAGATGGTTATCAAATATAACTCCCAACACCTAGTGAGTGTTGGCTGTGTGACTAAACTTTGTTAAATTAATTTGAGGTACTATTGTTAGCTATATTTCACAAGTGATGAAACTCAGACATCTAGAGAGACCAACTACATTTCTCAGCACACAGCTGGACAGATATATATAATCTGAGTTATTGCTCTCTCTCTCTCTTTTTAATCGTTTTATTAGGGGCTCATACAACTCTTATCACAATCCATACACACATCAATTGTGTAAAGCACATTTGTACATTCATTGCCCTCTTCATTCTCAAAACATTTGCTCTCCACTTAAGCCCCCAGCATCAGGTCCTCATTTTTCCCCCTCCCTCCCCCCTCCCCCTGAGTTATATCTTCTTCTGGGTAACTCTAAATTTTATGCTACATAAAAATTTCAGACATGAAGGTTAAATTTACTAAAAGGAACACAAAGAAAATAAGCTCACTGACTTATTTAAAGAGAACTTGAATATGAAGAGAACAAATAATTAGGAGAAATAATAAATAGAAACTGATTAAGCAAAGGTAAATTAATCTGTATACTATACATCTATAAAAATCATGGACAGGCTGAAATGCCCTACAGTACAATGAATGGTGGCCCCCAATGACCAAATCTCTATGTGGCTTTTTTATTACATGTGTTAGTCTGATAGTCATGATTCTACTTTGTGAATTACTGTTACTGAAAGTTTTTCCCTATCACTAACCCTCATAGTTCATATAAATAATGTCCAGCCACTTAAGCTTTTAATCTGGACGTGTCAAAATTCATATTTATAGTCTGAAAAGCCAACCTCATTTCCTTTTCTCGACAGTTTTAAATTATATACCATTGGCTAAAGTAATTAGTAGAATTACTTTACGTCCCATGGCAGTGATTTGTAATGTGCTACAGTATAAAATGATATTGATGGCTCTACAGTGAACTAGAGAGAGATATGTAAGCCACAGATCTATGAATGGATTTTGGACTCACACTTTCTCATAGCCCTAGTATACGAATAAATACTTCTATGACGTAGCCTTGCTCAGTACTAGCCTCCTCACTGAACAGATGGGTGCGATAGCAAAGTGTAGGGAAGACGTCAGATGGTACCCAGCTACCAGAAGGAATGGACGCCACAGTCTTAAAGGCTTGTCTTCAAACAAGCAGCCATCTAAGTGAGGTGTCAACTGAGACCACATGGAAGAACCCTGTGGGATCCAAGATTGTAAGTAATAAATCCATATCTGAAGGAGGGATAGTCTAGCATCTTAACTTCTGTACACCTGGTTTGTTGAAGGCAATGGATGACAGTGAAAGCCCCCAATCCATTTATAAGGGTCTCATGTTGATTAAATGTCTGGTGACTCCCCCATAGTGCAGGGATGTAATTAGCCAGCCTCTCAAACAGAGACCATTATAGTCAATTATGGCACATGTAGTAAGGATAAAATGTAACACCTTATCATTTGATCTCTCCTTTGATTTTAAATTCGTTCTAGTTTTAAATATTTTCTGCTTTCTTTTTGATTGAGGGTTTTTCACTGTTTTACCTAGTTATTGTTGTTAGTTTCTTTGTTGTTGTTTTGTTATATTTTTCTGTATATGACATTCAAGATAGGTAAATCTATAAATTCAGTCACTACATTAATTATTTCTTAGGGTTGTGGCAGGTGAGGTTGAGTAGAAACATACAGGAAAGAAGAAAATATTCTAAAATTGATGTGGTAATTGTACAACTTTAAAAAATGTGATTGGACTAATTAACTGTATGATATCTAAATTATTTGCTAATCAAACCATTTTATAAAAAAAGCTGGTGGTAGGCATTGCCCCAAAGAGAAATATAAAGAGAGATAGATAATGTTAAGACAAAATAAAATTCAACACAGTGCCAGTAAGTCACTTCTGAATGTCAGACCCTCGAGGGTGGAGGAAAACTGCTCTTTAGGGTTCCCAGCTCGGCAAATCTGCATTGGAGCAAATAGCCCCCTCTTTCTTCCAGAGAGCAGCTGGGGGGTTTGAATTGTCAACCTGGCAATTACTAGCCCAGTGCTTAACGCACTGTGCCACCAGGGCTCTTTATCTTAGCACTGTACAATGATAAAGGGTGGGTTTATTTTGTATAAATAACACGTCTTAGAAAATAAAATGTAAATTACTCAAGCCTTTAGATATTAATAATTTACAAGAAACAGGAGGATCAGAAATATCTGTTAAGCAACACTGTGGGGATTAAATCTACAAACTACAGACTGAAAAATTAGGGGACAAAAACCCCAGCTAATTAACAAAAAATAAGAAAAAAATTTAAAAGAGAGATGAAGGGGAAACCTATAAATTAAAAAAAGATCTGAGGTTTTCTTCTCAATCAGTTGTAATGTGTGGGTCTTTTTTACAGTTCACAAACTGTAAACAGTATTGAGATTTTGGAAATAAAAACACTGCTTGAATATATATATTTGATGCAACTAGGAATTGTTGCTAAAAAAAAATGAGCCGAGGAATTTTTTGTATTTTGTAAATGGTAAGTTCTAGACTTAGCAGAAGGAGGTTTTTCAATAATTGGCTTATGAGTGATTTCATATGTGAAAATGACAGTCTTTTCCTGATTTCATTTTATTTTCTGAAAGGACTTTGTGTATAATTTTGTATTTAACTAGACTCTTGATTCAATGCAAATATATAATAGGGTTGTCTTGGCTAAAACCTTGTCAAACCATTGAACTTAGGTGCATTTGTAAGTGTTGATAACATTAACCAGAGAAATAATGTAATATTTTCTTCTTTAGGTTTATGGAAGACCTAAAGGATATGTTGGGCTTTGCACCCAACAGATATTACTATTATATGTGGAAATATATTTCTCCTCTAGTGCTATTATCATTGCTAATAGCTAGCATTGTGAATATGGTACTAAGTCCTCCTGGCTATAATGCATGGATTGAAGATAAGGTAAAATACAAAATAAAGATGTTAGATAAATAGTATAAAATATTTTAGAGACCATTGTCTTCTGGTTTTTTCAATAAACTTTTTTCTTTATGTTTAATTAATAGTGTTGTTCTTGGTCAATGATCTTAAAATTTAAGTTTTGTGCCTAAACACAGGATTTTCTTTATGCATGTGGGTTTCTTTAATTCATTGGCCATGACCTCATTGTTGTTGAAGTGCCACGGATTTGGCTCCTAATTCATGGTGACCACACGTACAACATAATTAACACGGCCTGTTCTTCAGCCGTCCTCACAATGGTGCCTTTGGTATGTCACACATGGTAGCCATTGTGTCCAGCCATTTCAGTGAGGGCAATCTTGTTTTTCATTGACCTATTTTGTTATCAAGCCTGGCGTTCTTTCACAGGAAGTGGTCACTCTTGGACACATGTCCAAAGTACCTGGGATGAAATCTCTCCATCCTCACTTCTGAAGACCTTTCTGGCTGTGCCTCTTCCTGCATGGATTCGTTCATTCTTCTTAAAATCCATGGAATATTTAATATTCTTTACCAACACCCTAATTCAAAGGCATCAGTTCTGCTTTGGGCTTCCTTATTCAGTGTCCAGCTTTTGCACGTATATGAAGGGTTGAAAGTACTGTGACTAGGATCAGGCATGAACCAGTCCTCAAAGTGACAGCTTTGCTTTCTAACCCTTTAAAGAACTATCTTGTATCACCTTTTCCCAATGCAATACGCTGTTGGATTTCTTGATTGCTGCTTCTATAGGCTTTGACTGTGTATACAAGAAAAATGACATTCTTGACAACTTCAGTCTTTTCTCTATTTATCGTGATGTTGCTTATTGGTCCAGATGTGAGGATGTTGATTGTGTGTGAGTATTGAAGTGTAATCCATACTGAAGGCTATATGCTTTGAATTTCATCAGTAAGTTCTTTAAGTCTTCTTTGCTTTATGCAAACACATTTGTGTCATCTGCATATACACCCCAAACTTACTCCCCCTGCGTCGAGTCCATCATGGGGACCCCGTGGGGCACAGCAGAACTACCCCTGTTGGTTTCAGAGACGACAACTCGTACAGGATGAAAGAGCTCCCTGCTTGCAGCCAAGATCCATCTGCTGTAAGCAAACGTTGCCCTCTTCCGTGCCCTCCTATGAATCTAGTTTTAATTTCTGACAGTTCCCTGTAGATCTGTTGCAACCATTTTTCAATTACCATCAGAAAAATTTTACTTGCGGGAAACATTAATTATATTGCTCATTACTTTCTGCATTCTTTGGATCACACTTTTTTGTAATGAGCATAAATATAATTGGTTTCCCAGGTTGTTGTCTTGCATATTTCTTGGCATAGATGAGTGAGCACTTCTAGTACTGCATCCATTTTTAAAACATTTCAGTGGGCACTCCATTAATTCTGGGAGCTTTGTTTTGTTTTGCCAATACTTTAATTATAATTTGGACTTCCTTTAATACCTTTGGTTCTTTTTATTGTTTCATTTTATTGGTGGCTTGTACAACTCTTATCACAATCCATCCATCCATCGTGTCAAGCACATTTGTATATATGTTGCCATCATCATTCTCAAAACATTTGCTTTCTACTTGAGCCCTTGTTATCAGCTCCTCTTTCCCCCCCCCTTCTTCCCTGCTCTCCCCTCCCCCATGTACCTTTGTTAATTTATAAATTATTATTATTTTTTCATGTCTTACACCATCTGACGTCTCCCTTCACCCACTTCTCCGCTGTTCATCCCCCAGGGAGGAGGTTATATGTAGATCCTTGTAATCTGTTCTCCCTTTAACCTCACCTTCCCTCCACACTTCCGGTATGGCCACTCTCACCACTGGTCCTGA